TAGAACCATTTCGTCTGAATATTCGAAGATCAGATTGTACTTAGTGCCGGTTATTCTTGAGATGATTTCTTTTCTTTTTATTTGAAAGAACATTTTCTTTTCTTTTTTCTTTTTTTGCAATCCTTGATTTATTGTTCGATATTTTTTTACAATAATCATCATTTGTCTCAATTAGCATCCTAGTCAAACTCATGATTTCAACACAATAAAGTAATTTCTCTCAACAATCATGTACAACGTGCATCGGATAGCTATTAGCAACACCTCAGGAAGATCTTGCTTATTTAAAATGTTTTCGTTTTCGCAAAACTATTTATAAAGATCTCTCCCACATATTTCCAAGAAATTAACCGTGTTTCCTTTCAAGGACACACATAATTAACACTTTTGAATGTTTGACTAGTTGTAAAACTCACTTGCCCTATTGAAGAAAGCAATTGTAAAACTCATATATAGAATATACAACAATAGCCTTTTACCGTAGACTCACTTGCCATATATCCGATCAAAGTATAATACGGCAATGATATGAAGAAATTAATTACTTAAAAGGGTTTCCTTCCAACAATTTTTTAAAAGATCGCTCCCACATATTTTCAAGAACCTAACAGCTCTCATTTGAAGGATATATATCCTATCAAAACTCTGTGTTTGACTGGTGATAATTTAGACGTTTTTTACAACTGACATACATCGTGTATCAGTCAATTTCGTCAGATTTATTTTCAGAGATATAATTATGAAGTCTACAAAACTAGAGAAACTTATTTTGAAAAGCTGAAAATTCTGTTGCAGACAGCATCATCGAACTCTTGCTATAATCTTAATTCACGTCACTCAAATTTACATAACAATGCTACTTATTTTTATTTCTCATCATTTATGGCCTCAGACACGAATTTTATTTTAATAGTTTTTTGTGGAATTTTAATCAGAAATTAGTAATTTTCTTGAATTTGTACAAAAGAAAGAACTGATGTGTATGTTTCTTTAAACTTCAATATTTATTTCAAATGACATGTTTAATTTAATTTTTCCTACTAAATTCCATGTCATACAGTTGTTCTTGTACATAATAATTTTTCTAGACATATGTTAATCCCTGAAATCCCTTTTAACATATATGGATACAGCCTCATCACTGTAAGTGTTTTTGATATTTGTTCTGTAGCAAATAGGTTTTTACGGGTTGGGCCTTACGCGATTTAAATTCAGAATTGGTCTTTTTGTCGGGTAGCTGTATACCAAAGCTAGATAGTTCAGTCTCCCTTGCTATTTAACCTTTAGCTAGAGGGACGAAGATATAGTGTATATGTCACGAAGATAAATTCAACTGCTTAGACTGAGATCTGGCAATCCTACTTTCGCCGCTGATAACCGCTATCTAACGCGCAAATACTCTCTTTCTCTCTCTCTCTCTCTCTCTCTCTTTCTATATATATATATATATATATATATATATATATATATATATATATATATCTTATTGTTGAAACTTGACTAATGCATGGAATAATAATACAACACAAAATGTACTTAGAACAAAATGTATTGAAACAAGAAAGTGTACACAATATTTACATATAGTCTTTTGTATATTCTTGGGAAGACCGTTCCTGAGAATGGGTTGACTTAGTCGCAGTCAGGCAGAGTCTCTGGATTGAATCTCTTGATTCCTCCTTCTCTTCCCGGTACCAACCATATTTATATGGTCGGTACTCCACTATGCAAATTAGGTGGATCCTACCACAACACTTATGTACTATATCCTTTGAAGACGTGAGAGATTATGACCCTCCTCTTCCTGTCCTTTGTATCTCAAAAACGTTTTTCCATACCATAAATCCAATTCCCAACTCTGCCACCTCTTCACATAAACCTGCTACGCTGGTTACTCAGTGTTTTTCTCTGCTTTACTTTTTTTTTTAAATGTCTTTAATCATTTCACTCTAAGCAAAGCGGGAATGCCATTAGTGTCCAGGGTCTTACTGGGAGTGAAAGTGAATGGAGTGAAAGTGAATGCCATTAGTGTCCAGGGTCTTACTGGCAGTGAAAGTGAAAAAGAATAGGGAGCATTGAGAAAAGGACAAACGATGAATGGCTTTCAAGAAGACAGAAGATGGTGATTAACGTTGCATTTAAATTTTTGAAGATTGTAATTATCAAGGAAGCAATTAAACAGAAGCGAGTTCCACAGATTAGAAGTGTGAGAAAAGAAATTGCTGGAGTAAAAGTGGATGCTGTATTTAGCTATTTCAACAGTAAACCGGTGGTACCTAAATGCCAATCTAATAGCACGGTTAAATTAATGTAGTCGGAGTAACAGGGAAAACAATGTTCGTTAGAGAAGTTACCATGAAAATATCTGTAGAAAAGATAGACGGAAGCCTCGTTACGTCGATGAGAAAGTGACTTGTTTTCATTTTGTCCTGCGAATGTTAAATTCTCCAAACATCTTTTTTCATTATATTTCATGCAAATTTTAGCTGTCTTTCTTATTGTGAGTATAAGTTTTTCGTTCCTATATACAATTCTTATGAAAGACTAAATTTAAAAGAATTGAAATCGCTTACCCCTATATTTTATCAATACAACTAAAGATCATTCTCAATGATTTATATGTGCAAGTAAAGTCATATCTTATAAGACATATCTTATGATTATTTAATTAATATTCATGAATAAAATGAAGGTAAATCTCAGGGTCTTCTGTGTATTAAAGCCTATGAAATTGTAAAGAAAAAGATAGACAGAGAACCGCATAGAAAGAAAGAAATGATGCATTAAAGCTGATATTGTCCATGAAATGCGATGGAAAGAATTAAAAATAAGGTTTTAGGCGAGATGCATTGATGAGATCCAGGCAAGCGAATGAAATCGTAGTTCAAACAGAAGCCTGGATCTCTCTTTCCAATCGTGATAGAAACATGTCAATGAGGTTTAACTCAAATCTTAAATGCACGTGCAAACAGATATGGAAACACACACAAAAAGATACAAGTACAAACATATGCATGCACACACTAAAGATATACATCATGCACGCAAAAATAAACGCACCCACAGAAACATGCACGTATATACTCTTGACGCATGTTTAATGAGGTATATAAGTTTAGTGTTTCCTTATGAAATGTTCAAATATTCTTACCTTTTGCAAATACACTGCAGAACAGAAGCATATCTCAATTCCTCAAGACCATCTCCCCATGATGACCGTAATATCTGAGAAACAAAAACCTGTATATTGGCTCCCATCTTTTATGTTTCTATTACGTTTGCTGTCAATCCCAGTCAATCAACTTTTTGTCATAATTGCTAAAGAGATTGATTAAATTTCCGGAGAACACAAAGAGGAAAGTTGGTTTGGAAAATATAACACACACATGATATACATACATGCAGGAAAAGGAAGGAGAAATGTTGAGTAATTAACACATATCTTCCTGTCGTCAGTTTAAACAGAAGCTTTCTTCTTTTTTTGATATAGCTAAACTATACTTACAATCATTTTAAAAGTGAAAATTTCACAGAAATATGTTAGAAAACTTTTCGTTTAAAATACAAAAAAATACAGATTTTTAGCAAAATTACCAAAATGTTTTAAAACCCTCATTTTAAATAAACACCGAAAGGATAAGAGCAAACGAGTATGGATGAATAGATGGTAGGACTAGCTCAAGGGAGGAGGATAAAGAATCAAAAGTTACTTAGAGCAACATAGGATAGGAAGCTGTGGAGTGTCATGATCGTCTAGGTCGGGAAGAAACATAGCGCGTATATACGAAAATGCAACATATGGATGGCGGGGAACAAAGAGGGATATTAAAGTGTTAGAGGTTATTTAGAGCAATAAAATGTAGGAAGTTGTGGAGTGCCATGATCTCCCATGTCCAGGTGTAACATAAGTAAGAGTTTTGGAGATATATAATCATCGGTATCATCAACGTAAAGAAGTTATGAAGTTATTTCTTGCAATGCATCTCAAAACTTGTCCCTTAATCAATTCTATAATATTTTTCTAATGTTGGTCTTTTCTCGAATCCATGTTACCTTCCTTCTATCTGTTTTTTTTTTATTATTCGGTGAAATTCTCTTCCTACTTATTTTGTTTCTAAGCATTTTCTTTCTCTTGGTATTTTGTTAATGTCCATTTCGTTTCATAAATTCTTTATACTCTTTAAGCATTTTAACAATGTGCTTTTCATTATATCTCAATTTTTATTAAATACTTTCTAAACAATCAGTAAGTTTTAATTTCCGTAAGTCTTCTTTAATGTTGTTATCCTTCTCCAAAAAATCTTCAATTCTCACCGATCTAGTATTGAACCAAATGAATCTAAGTTTACGAAATACGAAAATAGACAAAGTATTAAATTTAGAAAATGGCTTAGTGTATCAATTTATAAATACACAGCTTCCTCGAAATATATAGTGGTGATTGGTTTGGTTTGGTTTGGTTTATTTTGTTTTACGGCATATCAACCTCCATAGTTTATTTAATACCGACAACATTTTTTAGGTTAGATTCGTATGAATAGAATCTGTATTCTTTGGTTTACATTGGATTCGTTTATTTTGTTTTACGTCATATCAACCTCAATGGGTTATTTAATACCGACAACATTTTTAGGATAGGTTCGTATGAATAGAATATGCATTATTTGCTTTAGATTGGTTTGGTTTATTTTGTTTTACGGCATATCAACTTCAATGGGTTATTTAATGCCGACAAGATTTTTATTGCTAGAAATATTTTGTTTTATCAAAAATCTTTTTCTGGTAATTTTTTTTTTTCCTTCAAAATTGTATTGCTGGTAATATTTTTTTTTCAAAAATGTATTGCTGGTAATAGTTAACTATTTTTCCATAGCTGGGAACATAACAGGTGCTACCACCTCGGGTCAGGGTGGACGTGGGAACACCAGCAATTAAGAGGTGGCTCCACGCTCTTCAAAACCACCTGATCAGAGGCCTTGCTGTTGGATGTAGTTTATCGTCTTACCCAGGACGCGGATGTAGTTTAACGTCCTACCCAGGACGAAAAATATAATGGTGAGTATCGCCTCTTGTCACGCGGGAGACTGTGGTTCGATTAACCGCCGGGGAGCATGTAAAAACTGTTTGGGCACCGCGATGCGGTGTAAAGGTTAGTAATTACTCGAACCCTTACAACTGAATAGTGAATTCTCTCCTCACTCGGTGCCCCATGCTTTCGGCCTTGTGCCACATCTAAGTACAAAGACTGAAATATTTTTGAATATAAGATTCTGGTCCAAACATAAAGTCATATAATGATTTTCATGACGCAATTTGTTTCTATATTTATCATTTATTTATTTATCTATCTATCTTTCTTTCTCAGTCTATTCCGATCTATCTATCTATCTAGCTCTTCATATATATTTCAAACTCTTCATAATTATATATCTCTCTATCTCTTTATCCCTCTATCTCAGTCTATTCCTATCTATCTATCTATCTATCTATCTATCTATCTATCTATCTCAGTCTATTCATATATGTCTATCTATCTATCTCAGTCTATTCATATATATCTATCTCTGTTATTCATATATATTTATCTCAGTCTATTCGTATCTATCTATCTATATATATATATATATATATATATATATATATATATATATGATATCTGTCTATCTATCTATCTAGTTACCTATTTGCGGTTTGTTTATTATCTTTAAAATATCTTTGTGAATATGACCCTCTTTTGCTTATATATATTGTATCTATTTGAATTTATGTACATGTCCATGTGTCTGTACTGAAAATTTCTGTGGTTTACTAAATGATGTCAAAAGAAGATGAAAATAGTAATCACCTAAAATTGGTACAAGTTGGTACTAAAATTATGCAACAAATTTCACGGCACTAATTTCGATTAACAATACTACATTAAGCGTTAATTCTTCGACTGACTTCTTTTTTACGGCTTAAGAACCTTTTTCGTGTTATATAATGCCGGAAAATAATTTTAGACGGGGAGAAGTTTTTGGAGATAATCATGATTTACTGATACGTTCTACTAATTAACCCATAACTTGGGGAGAACAGAGATTCATAGCTTTTCCAAGAGTATTTGCGCGTAAATAATTATAACGAACCAGACTAGATTTGGAAATCGGAAGGCCGATTTCCAAATCTAGTCCCGAATCATTATCTGTTACACCACCCGCATATCCAAGCTTACAGCACCGAGTATTCCCCAGCGGTTACCCATTTAGGTACTGACCAGGCTCGACGTTGCTTAACTTTGGTGATCTTACGGGAAGCGGTGTTTAAACGTGATGTGGCTATAAGCATGGGAAAAACAATAGGCAGAAAATGGGGATGATGTGAGCAGAGATGGCGAGAATTAGGATAGGAAATGTAATAGGCTGGGTTATGGGAATCAGCAGATTGGGGTTCATATTCCATTTCATCCATTTTACTTCCTGTTCACACTAATGCTTTTCTCAAAAGTACAAAAAACGACCTTTCTTTGCATTGTCCTCATCAAGCGCCATGAGAATATATATGATCGAGAAAGGAGAGGCTGATTGAACATTTGGAGAAACAGATAGATTCAAAATAACTCACTTTTAGAAACACCCAAATGATAATACCATTGTTAATCATGAAATAAACACAACATGACAAAATATACCTATGCACATAGCCGATAACATTGAATAAGTTGTTCTTTGCGGAGTATAAAATCAGATTCTCAAACACGCACGCACACACACGCACACACGTGTGTGTCTGTGTGTGTGTGTGTGTGTGTGTGTGTGTGTGTGTGTGTGTGTGTGTGTGTGTGTGTGTGTATGTAGTACAGGTAATCGATCCATTGGTATATAATCCGGGGGGAACATGTTAATATTAATTGTTAAAACTGATCCACTGAGCGCTCGATGTATTTATTATAACAGAGCATATAAAAAACAAAAATTACCTCAACATAGGTATAGTCTATTTCAAGCTGTTCTGTACGCGGCTATCATCAGCCACTAAGTGTCTGTCTCGCAGCTTTGTTTTAAATTTATTTTCAATGTCAGTCCTCCTCTAGTCGACGCCTTGTTAATGAGAATGAGTTTGTGTTAGCGACTGGTGGGGGTGTAAGTTATCTTATCCCGGGGGAAGCGGTCTAAGGGTGGAGTTTATTTATGGATAGAACCTTTCGTTGTTTGTTTTATATTAGTTCTTACTATGTGGCATTTCTTATATAATGTCTACATTTAGTGATTAGTTCTCTCCGTTGATTTAATAGTTTGCATTGATCTTTATATTTTATTATCCTGATTTTTTTTCTTCTAAACATAGCTTGCACCCATCACTAAAAATATTGCAAATCGAGGAAATCTCGATCTTAAATCCTAGGAATGTGAAGGCTCTGATAATTTCTTTTGTAATTTCTACGTTTAATAATTTTATGATTAGAATCTAATGTTAAGGTATAATTCTGGATTCAAGTTACAAAATGATAGGGTCGGGATAAAAAATGAAAAAATAAATAAAATTCATTTCAACGCCGAAATATTAAAAAAATGAATAGAATAAAAAAACAAAAAGAAAAGGGGAAAAGAAAAAGAAAAGGAAAAAGAAATACAAAAGGAAAAGAAAAAGAAAAAGAAAAAATACGAAATATATAAAAAAATAAATAATAATATTAAATATTATAGGTGGAAAATAAGAAAAAGTATATATATATATATATATATATATATACATACATATATCAAGATAGAGAGATAAATCTTGACATCTTGAGATAGATAGATAGATAGATAGATAGATAGATAGATAGATAGATATGAAAAAACTGAGATTGATAGTAGATAGATAGATAGATAGATGTAATTATGTCTTTTCAAAAACGGCTTTTGTCTTGCTTTTTTTTTTTTTGTTTGTTTGTTTGTTTTCTGAATTTATTAACTAATCGTCTTTCTGCAATTATACTGATTTGCATTTTTCAATATGCTGTCCGGTCTTACTATTTATGTCAGATATCACATATAGTTGCGACTAGTCTCCTAGAAATCTCAATAGGCACTGGATATCAAATGAATTATTCTTGGAAATTTCCAGTTCATAGAATCCGTCTAGCTCTCGACTGTTTAGTTATGTCGAAAAGACGTTCAGTTTTGAATTATTATTATACTTCGATTTTAATGTTATTGTTATTTCATAAACAAATTCGAAATGGCGCTTCTCATCTTTCTTTCCAGATACATGTTAAATATATACCATTTAATATGAGTCATATATCGATCTCAGTTTTTTTTTATCTATCTATCTATCTATCTATCTATCTATCTATCTTAGTCTACTTAACTCGGCCTGATCTTCTCTATTAACGACAGTACCTTAATGTTTATGCCTCCATCCATTTGAATCTTTTTATTTATCAAATGTCAGCTGATAAGTATTTCTGAGACTGCCTGATTGGCAAAATTTTGAATATTTACATTCATGCTAGTCGAACAACGGAAAGGATAAACGCATTCCTCCTTCGCTTGTAAACGAATGCTATATTCATACACTTTCTTTCTTTTTTCTTTCTTTCTTTCTTTTTTTAATTTCTGTATTTTTCTCTCAGTTTTCTATCGATATATATATATATATATATATATATATATATATATATATATATATATATATGTGTATCAAAATACATTTACAAACCTTGGGATGGGTTCCTCACACCAAAACAAGGACAAAAGTCCATATAAACACGTATCTACAAATCATTCGTTTTTGTGATATTAAGTTTAATAAACGTTTACAGTAGATGGCGCTCTTTTGCCATGTAGACTAAGTTATAATTGACATTCGTGTACATTTGTAGTTAGTCTGTCTTCAACATTCAACATTTTTAGTTGTGAGTTAACTAAGAAGTGTTCTGTTTAACAATGGCAATATCTTCATATCGGGAGCAGGCCGATATGACTTTTACATACTGCCGTTCGAATGGTAATGGTATATTGAGCAAATTGCCGATCCGTTGTTTGTCACCTCAGTCTTGTTTACGGATGAGGCAGTATTTGGAAGTGATGGAATAACAAATGTACACGACCAACATCTGTGGGAGGATCGGGGTCCCCATGATACAATACAAGTTACACACCATTATCATTTTACGATTAATGTGTGACCTGTAATTGTAGGTGAGTATCTGTTAGGTCCATATGTTCTCCCAGTACATCTTACAGGAGTTGTTTAGAGGCACTTTATTTCGAACACATTTTCAGACTTGCTAGAGGATGTACCACTGCTAATACGAAAACGCATGTGATTAATGCATGATGGGTCTCCAGCATATTTTAGTTACATTGATCGCGATATAATGGATGATATCTACAGTGAAAGGTGGATAGAAAGGGAAGGACCGGTTCCATGACCGGCACGTTGCTCCGACCTCAATCCTTTGGATTTTTATATGTGGGGCCTCATTTGATTTAAGCAGCAGACATTAATAATACAGAGACACTTCATCAACGTGTCATGAGGTCCTACAAAACCATTCGACCGGCAACGTGTGGGAGTATTTGAAAGGGTCCGCCAGTCATTGATCAGACGGATGCATGGGTGCATATAATCAACCGGATTAGATTTGAACATTTGTTATGGTTAGTTTGTTGAGATAAAACGATGGTCTTTTAGACATATGTATATGTGGGAATTTACCTTGTTTTTGTGTCATGAACTCGCTCCTAAAGATTCTATAAGATTGTATGGATTGTATCTTGGATTGTACATTTAACATCGTGTACCGTCAACTTTAAAGTTAATAACTCCTAAAGCGAAAGATTTGCAGACATATGGACTTTTATTCCTTGTTTTGGTGAGAGGAAACCATATATATATATATATATATATATATATATATATATATATATATATATATATATATATATATATATTCAGTTGTATAGATATGAGTTTGTGACCCTGGGTTTCACGCTTTTGCGGTCATCAGACAAACTGGTTTATTTTTTTAAATTGAATATATTTATGCTTGTTTATGTTTGATTATGTTTGGTGGTAGGAGGAGCAATTTTCTTCTGTGCTTGTTTGGGATGGCACTCTCACACATATAGACACACATACATACAGGTGTACGCATTTTAGTTCACACAGGTACACCATATAAACAAACCCATATTAGGCGCAGACACACACCCATGCGCTCGAGCATACATGCCTCGTGCTCAGATAAAAATTATATATATATATATATATATATATATATATATATATATATATATATATATATTTATTTATTTAACGAAAATCTGGGCAATCCGTATGGATAATCCCAAGGAGGATGAAATCCGGAGAGCTCATTATTAAGTCAGAGCGAATAATTTAATTTAAAGAAAAAAACAGATCACTTTAAGTTTCCATTAGTTATAATTTATTTCACCCAAGATTTTTTTTTCTCTGGATCTTTAGACTTCACTTTCATATATTATGTACGTTATATATATATATATATATATATATATATATATATATATATATATATATATATATATATATATATTATGTACGTTATATTTAGCGGGTACGCGTGTTTAATATGTAACCTTGATGCTTTAAACATCAACCGGCCTAGAGATCTAAAGTCTTATGCAATTATATGTGCCGCCCGACACCAATCGTAATTCTGTTCTCCTTTTAACTTGAAAATCACATTCAAGCCACGTGTTTTTTATCATTAAGCTATGGAGTAAAGTGTGAGTAGATTTCTTTGTTTAAGAAATGCGCATCTCTCATTACGATATTTTTAATTTCATAGCTTATGAATCTATTTCTCTATCAGAAACATAATGTCATTTTAATGATTTCATGCATTTTTTTAATGTCCTTATATGATTTCTTATTCCGTTATTTTTGTGGATACACATGTTTGATTAGAAATGAAAGTGAAATTAATGTCTACCACCCTACACAGTGAAAGTTTAATGTAATCTGATTAATGTGGCTCCCAACAGGTATGGAAGCAATATTTCCTTTTTAATATCACATGCCAGTTTAAGTCCAAACGTGCTTTACAGGAAAATATTTCAGTAAAGCAAGGCTCAGTTACCCAGTTTATAGGTAAATATGAACAGACCTGGATAGATTGAAAGGTAGATATGTACAAATTTGCAAAGATAAATAGGTAGATAGGAAGGCAGGAAGTCTTTTAGGAAAATATTAATTCGTTTAATATCAATAAAATTTTTCTCGAGAAATCATGGCTTCAGTCGTTCGTTATTGTCCCTATTGATGAACGAAATTAATGTAGCAGCGACAGTTCGACTATTCCGAATTTCTGTTAATTCTTTTAGGGGACGCCATTAACGGCATCATCGACTTCGCTTCAACATTATTCATTTTTTGAAATCTCCACCATTTTAGTTTAGGAAAAAATCAAAATTCTAACGGTGTTTAAGAAAACTGGATGTTGCTATATTAAAATAAAAAAGACGTGGCTGTATGGGTGTTCTCTTATCTATTTGTTGTCAGCGTGAATACGGGGGTCACACAGTAAGAAACCGTACTGTTCGCTGAATAACCTCAGGGCATAAGCATTGTAATGTTCACTCTAGTTTCTTATGAACTTGTATTTAAGCAGTGCAATCAATTATTGAGAGATGCAAAATAGATGTATACTTTCTGGACAGTCCCTTTAAAATAAATGTGCGGGATATAGATGAATTATGCTGGTATATAAAGAATGCAGAGAGGCAATAAGCAAAAGCCAAATCAATAGACAGAATTATATTATCATGCTGGGTATATAACATTGGTCTGTTTCTATATGTAGAGATTGGTCACATGATGTTAGGCGGTCTCTCATTGGTTAATAAAACCACGTAGGTTCAGAAAAAGCTGACCACTAACAAGAGAAGGTAAAAGTTGCCAAGGGTTTTAATGGTACACGCTATCTAGCCGTATTTCACTCCATCAGATGGTTAAGTCCGCCTGACATATTCTCTCTATAAAGGAAAGGACATACTCTTTATTTTAACCGTTGTATTCATAGGTGTAACTAAATATCTTTATTACATGTTGATAAAGTATTCTTCGTCTTTGTTCCAAAGTAAAGTGGGGATAGCACAATAATCAACGTTATCACAATGCATTTTAATCTACAGGAAAGGGTTTTTCTTAATATTCTATTAATAATAAAATCATTTAGCTGGCAACACACACCCTGGACCGTTCTGATTAAGAGAAGAACGTGTGTCAATGACCTTAAACATAAATATGTCTTTCTATGCCAGGACTTGATAAAAATAACAATTTACAAGTCGCAGGAAGAAAGAAATCTTCGAAATTTGCTGTGGTCTGTGAAGATTTGCACTTAGTTTCATAATTGGCATTTGCCATAAACCAAAAATGTTTTACACATTCATGCTACTTTAACATTAACCCTTATTGACCAGGTGACCTTTTCTGTCCTTCTTTCTGTGTTTTGTGCCAACCTTTAGTCACACACGGGTCAGGCGATGAACTGGTCAGGATGTGATCAACTAATCGGCCAGCAACGTGTTAGAACGATGGACAGTTTTTCTCTTGAGTCCATCAAAACGTAGACTGATCTTCTCTTGGTTGGTCAAGTGTTCATGTATTAGTTTCACCTTTTGCCATTTTTGACCACTGCATTCTTGACCGGCTACTTGCTGCTCGCTCAAAATCGATTTTCAATCAATAATTTCAATTTGTTTTCATTCTACTCTGGACTTTCCAATACTACAAACATCCCACATTTTGGATTCACTGAGGTTGTGCCGAACACACACACACTCATATATATATATATATATATATATATATATATATATATAATTTCCCAAGAGTTTAGAATCCAGATAGAACTCAATGTCCAGGACAGAGTAAGGATATAATATAAAAGGCTCAAACACTAATATTCCATGGTTATAATTTATTACATAATAATAATAATAATAATAATAATAATAAATTATACATTTAAATAAATAAATAATTTATAAATTTATAAATAATACATTTAATTTATAAATTATAATTAATTTACAAATTTATAAATTATAATTTTAATTTATTTATAATTTAATAATTTAATTTATAAATTATACATTCAATAATTTAATTTATAAATTATATATTTAATAATTTAATTTATAAATTATACATTTAATTTATAAATTCATAAGTTATACATTTATAAATTATACATTTAATTTATAAATTTATAAATTGTACATTTAAATAAATAATAATTATAAGAAATTATACATTTATTACATGATAATAAATTACATAATAATAATAAATTACAACCATGGAATATTAGTGTTTGAGCCTTTAACACACACACACACACACACACACACACATATATATATATATATATATATATATATATATATATATATATATGCACGATATATGGACGATGCATATCTCAAATAATATTCTAGCAGATTATTATTTTTTAGCTGAATGTATTCTCCTCTAAATTCTTAACTTTGACGTTTGAGTTCAGATACAGTAAAACAGAGGAAGTCGTTTTTGATTAGTTAAATATAGCGTGGAATATTAGAGTTAGAATATGATTTCAGGGAGTTAATGTTTACGTCATACACAGTAGATGTGTTTTGTTTTGTTCCTCGGGAAACTTGCTCCCCAGTGAGGGTGATAGAGCAATCCCACTGTCTAGTTAAAATGTACACGTTGTCGTGTTTAATAAAATGTTCACTTTATATATATATATATATATATATATATATATATATATATATATATATATATATATATATATATATATATAGTTAAGGCAATAAATCCGTTGATATATAATCCAACTGGATTCTAGTAATATAAAATATTAAACTGATCCACATAAATTTTATTGTGTATTATTTTTAGGATTGATATATAATATAAAAGTTGTCACTTAGTTTCTTGATCTTCTATTCAGCAATTCAACTCTGGAGTTTCGTAGACGAATCCTTTTTTGTAATTATTCACTTCACTCTTCAGGAGTTTTCAACAACTGACTGCTTTTTTTTATCATTTTTCGTTATTTTTATACTAAGTTTGCATTAATTTATGCGCTAGTTGGGAGCTCTTATTAAAGGTGTAATTCTGATTTTTTTTCTATTTGTGTGAATTTGATTGAATTATCTGCATTTATTTATGCGTCAAATATCATTTGTTTGCTTTTTCAAAATATCATTGTATGCTTATACTATATACGTCTTCCTTTTCCGTTTTTTTCTTTTTCGACTCTGAGTGTCAAAGATAATGTAATACTATTATTCTCACCAAGAAGGACAGAATATTTTTTAAGGATTTTTTCGTATCTTCAAGTGTTTTCTTAAGTTAGGGTCACTTGATTTTCCCGCTCCTGTCTCTTCTTAAATTCCCTGTATCTGATATGATAAATTCCATAGGTCCTCTTTTGTCGTCATGTGTATAAAAAATCATCTTTCACTTTTTGATGAGTAGCAGAAATTTTTTGTAGTTTCTGTCCTTCCTAAAAATTTCTTGTAATCTATTTTTGGAATTCTGTATATCCGTCGGTAGAATGTATGACAGAACAGGGACAAAAAGGAATGGTCAAATGTCAAACATGCTTAGATTACAAGAAACAGGAAGTTGTGGATAGGCATGTTCGCCTATGTCCTGAAGTGAGACCGCATATAAAAATATTATCCATCAGATTTGGTTGTCCTTTTACTTTGACTTCCTATGAACGTTCATCGAAGTCCAGACTCTTGCTGATAATCTGATCGAAATAGTGAACAACCAAAAAATAGTTCCCAAATATATTTGGTACTGTTGGAAAGCTTATTTGATATAAAGTACTATATATAAATCTTCCTACTCAAGCATTTGGTGGATTTACGGCGATATCGTATTGAAACACTGGTTTCCGTAAGTTTATCGAAGTTAAGCAACGTCGAACCAGGTCAATACCTAGGTGGGTAACCACTTGGGAATACCAAGTGCTGTAAG